CTGGCACTTCCTCCCCTAATGGGCTTTTTTTTTTTGGCTGGTGTCTTCAAGCAGCATTTATGTTGAATGTTGACTGTATGCTTGAGGCTATCATTCATAGTATGAATTCTGCCTGTAGGTCGGTCTGTCTTTCATGGGTAGAATCAAGTTTGTATCTAAAATTCTGTGAAGTTTAGTAGGCTGTTCCTGCCATATTCTCTAACTCCATCATCTGTGATACTATGTTTTAACTGACGACTCCAGTTCTAAACCATTAATACATCGGAAAGAGTGTAAGCCTGGCAAAGAGAAAATCCTGCTTATGTTTTAGCTTGGGGGACAAAAGCAAAACAATCACATATTTGTGTGCTATAGAGATGATTTTCAGCAGCAGGGACCTCAGGTCCTGGCTGTGTTCTTAGGTTTAGGACTTGCTCCTTCCCTGGTAGACTAGATGAAGGAATGATGCGGGGGATCTGAGTGACAAGCAGCCTCAAATTCCAGCACAGCCACGTGACAGCAGGGTGTCAGCCCAGGCACCCCGCACACTAAAGATAGAGAAATCCCCGTTGCTTCCTCAGGCCGGAGGGCTCGTGCTTTCTTCTGGTCAGCTCAGCGTCAAGCTGAGCAAGAGAGCATTGGCCTTGACCTGCTGATTGGCACCGTAACTGAAAGTGAGCACAATAGTAGTTCTTCTAGACTTTATTATTTTGCAAAAGGTTAATTGTAGCTTTTAATCTTTCCAAGTATTAAATGAATCCCTTTATAGATTGTGGTTTATACTTTCAGACATGGCTTCTAAATCCAGCAGAGAATTGAAGAGAAACCCCTGACCTTTTACAAATGGGATCACAGGACCAGTCTGTGGGCCAGACAGCTGCAGCCCAGCTGACTATGGGTCATTGTCCCCCAGCGGCGTGCACTGTCTCCGTTTTAACAGCTCCAGCGTCAGAAAGAAACGAGGCTTGTCTGAGATGCTTTGGTGTGGGTTGAGAGCATCTCAGTTTTTTAGCTGAGCTGCTGAAATGGAATTAGTTGCTAACTATATCTGTGTCTCTTTATACCCACCCCCTTGTCCCATGTCAAAACAAAGTTGGAAAAATATCTTACTTGGTAAGGAATTCCAAGAACGGCTGAACAGTGGACAGTTGAGCACTATATGGGGAACGAGATGAAGGCCTTGGAGTTGTGGCGCTGCTCTCAAAATTTGATATTGGGCTGCTTGGGTCTGGCAATTCCATGTGCAGCTTAATCCAGGGAGCTGTTCAGGCCCCAGGAAAAAGTTAGCTGATTGATGGTATCAAAAGGCAATCAGGAATTTGACACAACATTGTAAAATGATTGTAACTCAATAAAAAAAATGTAAAAAAAGAAAAAAAAGGCAATCAGGGTTTGCACTGGGTAATTGCTTTCTGCGAGGGCAGCCTGGTTCCGGATCAGTAGGGTTGCGCTGGGGGCAGAACAGGGAACTCTGAGAGAAGTCGTCCCTGGCCAGCTCTTGGTCTGAGCATCCCAATGGCCATCTGCATCCTGTATGCCTGACGGATGTGGGTCAAGTAGCAGCCCTTGTGACTCTCAAGGTTTCCTACTATCAAGCTTGTGATCTTCCTGAAAGAGCCTTGTGTGGGAGTCAGGACACGTGGGCTCCAATCACAGCACCTCTCTCTGCTGTAGATAAGTGACTAATTCAGTTTCTGTCCTGAAAAGCTTTAACATCTGTGACTCTTAAGTGTTCCTCTGAGGTTACATATTTTCTTCTTCTGTGCTCTTTTGTGCAGTTATAATTTGGTTTTTCTCTTTGGGAACAGTGACCAAGTCTTCTTCAAAGTAACCTTTCCATCTCCTTGCACTTAGTAGGATCTCATCTCATTCTTCTGCTTCTGTCTACTTGTAGCTGCAGCTACACCTGTGGGCTGTGATGGGCCTAGCAGTCTGTCCTGCTTACTTGTGCCTTACAGATTTCTTAATCCTCCCAGCCACCCTCTAAATTAGGCTACGTTTCTGTGTTCAGTGGACAAACATTTGTTACAGTGGTGATTATCTTGTGGAGTTATGTAGTTAAGCAAACCAGGCAGTTAATGGATACAGTGATGGGGGGAAGTAACAGAGGATTGTGCCTAGATGATCAGGGAAGCTTCCTGGGAGAAGCATCATCTTCACCATGACCTGAGGGATGACAGGTGTCAGCTAGACTCAAGGTGGGGCTGCCATGGGAATGAGGTAGGAACCCGGGCCTCATAGCTGGGTAGACTTGGTTTAAGTCCCAGATTTGCAACTACACAGATCACTTTTTTTTTTTAAACCGCTCTCTAGGCACATCACTTAACCTCTCTCACCACTTTCCTTACTTAGAAATCCGTAGGGAATTGGCAGAAGTAAAGGAGATAATGCGTGTGAGGGCTGGGATCATAATATGAAATATTAATATTGGTAGTTAAAAATCATATTCATAAGATTGTTCCTTTTCTATATGCAGATTGTACCTGAGTAAAGTAGTGTTAGCACGGAGAAAGTCATTACGGCTTGAGCAGAGTGTGAGGTGGGGATCAGGGAGCCACGAAGCTGGGAAGTGAGGCAGATTGGGTCCCTTTTACAGGTGAGAAAACTGAGGCTCTAAGGCGAATCATCATCCAATTTGGCAGTGAGTGGTGAAGCCAGGACTGGAACCCAGTTGTGTCAGACCCTTAGCAGTTCTGCTAATGTTTGTGGGTTGGTTTCAGTGGATGTGTTTTGACCAGCAGTCTTTCATGTAATCAAGTATGATCAAGGATCTGGACTCACTTAAGCTAACAAATGATTGTTCACAATAGATGTGCAATTTAAAGCCTGGCTTGTGGGTTGAATTTATTTGGTTTTTGGCAGCTGTGGACTTTAACTTCTGGTAGATTTTTAACACAGAGAAGAAAATAGTAGTGCAGGAAGGAGGAAATGTGAAGATAAAAGGGAAGGAGAAACCACAGGTGCCTTTGTGTTTGGAGCTCAGCTGCTGGTGATTCTGAAAGGATGGGGGTTGGGAGAAGGAGGGTGAAGCCAGCCCCAAACCTGACTGGAAGAAGGGAGATTGGAGCCCCTCTGGCTTTCCCATCTCCTAGGTTCTCTTCCCAGGCCCAGCCCTGCCTCTCATCTCTGTCTCCTCTAGTGGGCAGGCAGGGTTTTGTGGTTTTGAGCTATGGAGGACTTGAAGCTCTTCCTCACATCCTCAGGTTGTCCTGATGTTCCTGCAGTTTTTCCAGTGGGAGAGGGAGACCTGGACCTGTCAGAGCTCTCATGAGCTGGTATAATCCAGCTTCAACACATCATGACCCAAGCACATAATTGGCCCAAGAATGCAAGACTGTTCAAATTCAAAAATCAATGAATGTATTTAACCATAATAACAGACTAAAGAAAAAGGCAAAAAACTATGAACCAAAAATTGTACTTAGTTCTACATTTAGCAAAATAAACCTGCCCAAACTGATGCTCTGACAGTATAGTCCACTTCAGGCCCCACTGTGCTCTGTATCTCTTGTCCCCTTTGTAGCTTCATTGCTCTGATCATTGCCATTTCTTTACCAACACCTAGATTACACCTTCTCCCCATGGCCACTGATTACTCATCCAACATTTTTTAATAGATGCAATGACTCATTGGGAGGAGAGCTATTCCTAGCTCATGCAAAAAATATATTGAGGTGTATAAATCTGTATAATTGACTCATAAATTTCATGCACACACAATGCCGAAGAAGTGTGTTGGTCCATTTTTATTTCCATAACACACTCAGGATACTCTTCGTGAGGCCTTTTCTCTTGTATGGTTGCTCTAGTGGGGTCGTAGGATGGCAAAATGAAGACCAGTTCTTCCTAATGTTTTGAGAGTAACCTTGGGTCAAAATCCTGTCATTTTTAAAATCTTTGTATCAACTTCTGACATATTACTTGGCACATCAAGAGATTCAGTGCATGTTTTGATGAATGAATCAAAGAGAATTTTGAAAATTCCTCATTTGGCAAGGGTCTCAATTCAAGACTTTAGTGTGAGACTCAAATACTCACCATGGAAAGGACTTTTCCTTGAAAAGAGTGACAGTCCCAACTCCAGTATAGTGATGGTTAGCGTTTCTCTGCTTATTACAACGACATGTGTAAAATGAAGGGAGTGGGGACATAGTATTTAAAATCCCCTAGAGAACATCTTTTAAAGAGATCTGGGCCACCCATAGCATCTGAAGAAGTCCTGTGGGGCTGGCAGAGTGTTGTGACGGACACTGATTAGAGCTATGAGACTAGCTTTAACACAGTTTTATTGTGCGTTAGGCTTTTGTGTGTTGTCTGTACACTTCAGTATGTTTGCTGTTTTTAAAAATCAGTGTATGAGTATACTTACATTAATGGGGTGAGGGGAACCTGGAACACAGTTTTACTCACTTACGTTAACTATTTATCTTTGAATTTTGACATACTGTTGGTCATATCTGTGATTTATTTAATGCCTAATTCTTGATCATCTTCTTTGCTATGTGATTTCACTGAGAGAGAAATGGGGAGAGGTAGGCGTTCTCTGAGTCCTGGAATAGTAACACGACTTAATATGGTCTGTGAGATTTCAAAGATTCTTTGCAGGTGGGCTGAGAAGAGGATGTATCTGGCTAATTGAGAAAGCCAGACTGGGTGGGATTTCTCACCCCCAGAGGAGGTGAGGCCAAGAGACTTCTTCAGTTTACATGAAAAAACTTCTGAGTTTCCTGATTTGTTTGTCAGCTTTAGAAAAAGAAAGACAAGAACCTCTAATTATTTAGGGGCATTCTCCCCCTAAATCCAGGTTTTGAGTTATCAAAAACATACCAAATTACTCCTCAGTGCTGATTATCCTTCAAGTTAAGCATCTTGTCTCAGCAACCTCTAGTCATAATAAATGGACACGTATGTCATGATCAAGTTTGAGTTCAGTGTTCTGAATACCTGAATAATCATCATTTTCACATTGACTCCGATGTCTGTTTGTTCTAATTTGACTAACGTAAGTTCTTCTCTATCAGGGATGGATGAATGAGATTTACAGCTATGATCCAGAAACTTACCACGCGACCTTGACACATTCAGTCTTTGTTCGACTTGAGGGTGGGACCTTAAGACTTTCAAAGCCCAATAAAAATATATCCAGGAGGGCAAGCTACAATGAAACAAAGCCAGAAGTCACTTACATCAGCCAGAAAATCTACGACCTCTCAGACAGCAAGGTGAGCCCAATGAATTTTGGAAGCTTAGATGAGTGAAAAGCATTTGGAATCTTGGTTGCTTTACTGTATTTTCCCCTCTATGTGTGTTTAAAGTATTAGTGTAATTTAGGGCAGTACCTCTCAAAGGTTAATATGCAGATGAATCACCCGAGCATCTTTTTAAATACAGAATCTGATTCAGCAACTATGAGTACAGCCTAAGAGTCTACATTTTTATGAACTCACAGGCGATACCCAGGCTGCTGGTCCGTGGACCACACTTTGAGAAGCAAGGGCATCATACACTCTTTTGACTTTGAGAGTTAATTTTTTCAGTCAAACAGAAAGACATGTACGATGGTGCTAGGGTAATAACTAATGGAGGCTCTGTAAATGTGAAATTATGGATGTGCAAAATAACTACATTTTGATGAAAATATTAATATACTTCTATTTTTGAGAAGTGTAAATTATTTGTTATTTGGAAAAGCTGTAAGTTCTCTGTTCTTGTAACTTACGTGAGTGACCTTTGGGTTTCCCCAAAATGGCAGAAGTACTTAAAATGGTTTTTTTATAAATTCATTCTTAACTTGAGGTTAATAAACTCGAGCTTCCTATCTAGATCCAGTTTGATAAATTCTTTTTTTTCCCAGCTTAAATTTGGCCCAGAGTCTTTAAACACAGTTGATATCCTAACTAAGCTGATGATAATCCACTGAACAATTACTGTGCTACTGTTACCTGAAAATCATAGATCTTTGTAAGTCTTGCAAAATTCTTAAACATTTACTTTCTGGAATGATTTTGAAGAATAAGTTATTTCTAAAAATTTATTCCAGTTTCTATAGTCATGTTATAGACAGGTGGTAATTATTTCACATTCATCATTTTAGTCAAAAATACTGCAAATTTTGCGTTTATGCTCTGCACAGTAGTAATACACAAGATAGCCAGTTCTCAATTTAGTAAATAAATCTTTCCTCTTCCTCTGTAGATTTATCTTGTGCCTAAAAGTTTGGCTCGAAAACGAATCTGGAATAAAAAGTACCCCATTTGTATCGAGCTTGGTCGACAAGATGACTTTATGTCTAAGGCCCAGTCTGATAAAGAGACTTCTGAAGAAAAGCCACCAGCTGAGAGAGAGCTGGGAGGCGAGGACCCGAAGAAGCCATCCCACCCTCAGGAGGGAACAAGATCTGGCCAGCGGGATCAGATACTCTATCTCTTCGGGAGAACTGGCCGAGAAAAAGAGGAGTGGTTTAGGAGATTTGTTCTGGCATCTAAGCTGAAGTCAGAAGTCAGGAAGCCACCTGGTATCTCTGGAAGTAAACCAGGTAATGGCACGTGTGCTAAATGCTAATGCATTTTTAAAGGGCCTGTGGGAGAATTGAGAGAGATTCCCAGGTAGGGAGGAAGGAAGCCCACCCTGAACCGATGACTGTCTGGCACCTGAGGTATGTTCATGGAACATTTGCCTTGTAGGCTGATCACTGCAGTGCTTTGTATGCAATCATTTAACCAATGAGGGAACCATTTGCAGATGAATGGGTTTTTTGGTTTGTTTTTTGATTTACTTATTTATTTATTTTTGCTGTTGCTGCTTCCTTAAGGATTATATTTATTTTTACATGTTGTGGCTCCTCTGGGAGAATAAGGAGCAGGAGAACCCTAGTTATAATAAGAAGGCAGGTGAAGTGGGGAGGGTATAGTTCAAGTGGTAGAGTGCATGCTTAGCATGCACAAGGTCCTGGGTTCAATCCCCAGTACCTCCTCTAAAAATAAAGAAATAAACCTAATTACCTCCCCCAGCCAAAAAAAAAGAAGAGAGAGAGAAAGTTTTTAAAAATCTACAAAATAAAAAAGGCAGGTAAGAAGGTAGCTTGTGCTCCCAAGCTCCTGGCCTTCAACTTGGCCTCCAGGCCTGAGATCCCCATC